ATAGCATGCTCTTTTTCATCAGATACAATTCTAACAAACCTGACTGTCCAATCTTCTGGCCAATAATGCAACAGAAACAAGCAGACAGAGGAGGCGGATATAAAGGGCTAGACTTCAAAATCAACAAATGTGCCTTATCATTTTATCTTAATACAATACAGTGTCAGTAAATATTAACTGATGTAAAGAGAAGCAACCAGGGGATTCCCTGACAGTCCAGTGGTTAGGATTCTGTTAAGTTGCTCAGCACGGCCATCAGAGAGATGGGAGTTGGGAGGAGCGGGGGCAACTAGTGATAGTGAGTGGGGAAAGGTCACCATTTAGAGCCTTTTTCTAAGAGGCAGAGAAACGATTTATTTGCCATGAGCTGCTGAAGACAACTTGTAACTATTAGTTACATTATGATAACTATCCTACTCTCAGCATGCTACTTGAGATGAAATGCATGTGAGAAATACTTACAGATAATGGTTAAAACAACTTTGGCAATTTAAATAGAATTTTAGAAAATTCGCCTCTATGAAATCCTTTATTTTCCAAAGTCACTGAATATCTTATATTATTGTATCTACTTCTGATATCCAAACAATACCATTATCAGCCGTTACGTTACTCTTCATCAAAATCTATACAAAAAATTTAAACAATTTTGCCCAAATAAGGTTTTACTTAGCTTCAGGTTCAGACTGGATATCAGTTATCAAGAAAAAGGGGGAAAACAACTACTTTGGATGCAAATTCTTAAAATTCTTTTCATTACACTTGACTATTTCAGGTTTAGTTTTTGTTTTTCAAAATGTCAAAGACTAATATTCTAATATTAGAATTCTAATTCAGAAAAATGAGTACATAACACTACCAATGAAGCTGTCCTCTTCTACCACATTCCAAATCAAACCTGAATCTTATCAGTCTTCTAGAGCTAACTCCCAACCCACAGAAGACCACATTAAGAGATTCTATTGTGAGATAACTGGCAAACCCTAGGTTGAGGGGGGATGTTCCGTAGGACAAATGAGTAAGTTTCCTTAAAACAGCAGGGGGGACAAGGAAAAAAATAAAAAAGAAGTGAAGGCAGAACCTATAGACAGAAAAGAAGTTTGAGACATATCAACTAATTGCAACATGTGAAACTTATTTCTTATTAAGAAGCTATTATTAATATTGTTAAGAGATGACAATGGTATTATGATTATATTTTTATAAACTATATTAAGGCATATTTTAAAATAATCTAATTCATACATGGCTATCCCAGTGGCTCAGCAGTAAAGAATTCACCTGCCAATGCAGGAGGTGCAGGGTGATCCCTGAGTTGGGAAGATCCCTTGGGAAAGGAAATGGCAACTCATTCCAGTATTCTTTCCTGGGAAATCCCATGGACAGAGGAGCCTGGCAGACTACAGTTTGTGGGGTTGCGATGAGTCAGGCACAACAAGAACTAAACTACAACAACAATTAATCCATATCAAGTGCATAATTCAAAGATTTTTCTTTAGTAAATTCACCTAGTTGTGCAACCATCAGTATAAATCAATTTAAAAATATTTCCATTAACCAATAAGACCCCTCACATCCATTAACTCTTTTAATCCCTCCTCACACACACACACACCAGCCGACTAATCCTCTTTCTGACTCTGTAGATCTGCCTTTTCTAGACATTCCACATTAACAGAATTGGCTGGCTCCTTACACTTTACAATTTTTAAGGATCATTAATGTCACAGCATGTATCAAGTTTGTTTCTTTTTCTTGCTCAACAGCATTCCATTGCATTGTATAGACATATTTTGTCTATTCATTCACCAGTTGATGGGCAGTTAGGTTGGTGCCAACCTCTGCCTATTAAGAATAACATTGCTGTGTAGGTAGATACACAGGAGTGGAACTGCTAGGTCATTATGGCAAAGTAATAAACTTTCCAAGAAATTTTTAAAGTGTTTTGGATATTTTAGCTTATTTGACCCCTACAACAGCCTTAAGAGGAAGCTATTACTATTATCCCCATTTTAGGGATGAGGATACAAAGGTCCATCCAAAAAGCCTAAGCAATGTGGTCAAGCGAGATGAGAATCAAAGTAGCTTGGCTTTAGAGTCTGTGGTTGTAACCACTGGGCCATATACTTCAAGCTCACTGTCAAGTTTAACCTTTCTCACAAGACATAAACAAATTAAAGAAATTTAATATAAAAATTCAGGTGGCTTCTAAGAACACAAAATGAGAGAGTCTAATGTTAATTAAATTTAAGTGTATATCTCATAACATATATATGGTAGTAATTCTTGTTATCTCTGAGTGGCAGAGTGGGAATACATTTGTTTCTTTTTATTTAATTGTATTTTCATTTATTATAGTGATATGGATCACAATAAACTGTGGAAAATTCTGAAAGAGATGGGAATACCAGACCACCTGACCTGCCTCTTGAGAAATCTGTATGCAGGTCAGGAAGCAACAGTTAGAACTGGACATGGAACAACAGACTGGTTCCAAATAGGAAAAGGAGTACATCAAGGCTGTATATTGTCACCCTGCTTATTTAACTTATATGCAGAGTACATCATGAGAAACGCTGGGCTGTAAGAAGCACAAGCTGGAATCAAGATTGCCGGGAGAAATGTCAATAACCTCAGACATGCAGACGACACCACCCTTATGGCAGAAAGTGAAGAGGAACTAAAAAGCCTATTGATGAAAGTGAAAAAGGAGAGTTAAAAAGTTGGCTTAAAACTCAACATTCAGAAAACTAAGATCATGGCATCTGGTCCCATCACTTCATGACAAATAGATGGGGAAACAGTGGCTGACTTTATTTTTGTGGGCTCCAAAATCACTGAAGATGGTGACTGCAGCCATGAAATTAAATGACATTTACTCCTTAGAAGGAAAGTTATGACCAACCTAGACAGCATATTAAAAAGCAAAGACATTACTTTGCCAACAAAAGTCCGTCTAGTCAAGGTTATGGTTTTTCCAGTGATCATGTATGGATGTGAGAGTTGGACTGTGAAGAAGGCTGAGCACAGAAGAATTGATGCTTTTGAGCTGTGGTGTTGGAGAAGACTCTTGAGAGTCCCTTGGACTGCAAGGAGATCCAACCAGTCCATCTGAAAGGAGTGTTCATTCTAAAGACTGACACTGAAGCTGAAACTCCAGTACTGTGGCCACCTCATGTGAGGAGTTGACTCACTGGAAAAAGACCCTGATGCTGGGAGGGATTGGGGGCAGGAGGAGAAGGGGACGACAGAGGATGAGATGGCTGGATGGCATTACTGACTCGATGGACATGAGTTTGAGTAAACTCCGGGAGTTGGTGATGGACAGGGAGGCCTGGCGTGCTGTGATTCATGGGGTCGCAAAGAGTCAGACATGACTGAGCGACTGAACTGAACTGATATATATATATATATAAAAGACAGTATTTAAGATTAACATAAAACAGACAACTCACTAATCAGAAAGCAAATGACCTGATGAATAATAAGATTTTAAGTTCCTAATTTTTTAAAAGATATTTTAAGATGTCCTGAGTGCGTACTATGCATGGACCCTAAGTTGAATGCTGTGGACTTAATCTGATTACAATTTAGGAACAAAGAAAGGCAACTCTAGAATCACAGCTGTGAGAAAAGGTACTCCTGTAGTAGGAATCATCTTAATTGGAGGAGGGGTCGGGGAGAAAGGTTTCCTGAAAGAGAAGGCACTAAACTGATTTGAAGGAACGGTGTATGTACACACTGCTTCTAAGCAGACTCTTTCATCAATAACATTGCCTCTTCTTAATGATTAAAAATGGAGGCCCTGCTTCAAATGTCAAACCTTTATTTTTTTGTCAGTGTGTCAATTTTGAATATCCACTAAAGAATAAGAGTTTCAAAGAAAAGGAAAAAGGCTTTGTTCTGTGATGTTAGAATATAATTAGAGCATAAAAAAATCTGTAAATGCCCATAAAAGAGAAATTATTTTAAATTCATTATATTCGAGTGTAGTTTGATCAGTCAGTCAACACATCTTTGAAACTTCATCCTAACAGCACTTCTAAGTCTACTGATGATCAAAATCAGGGGTTGGCAAACTACAAGCACATGACCTGGTTTGTTAACAATGATTTTTCAGCAAAGTACATTTAAGGAGGAAGAAAGAGAGGGAGGAAGAGAGAGAGAACCACAAAGAGACTACATGTGGTCCAAAAAGCCTACAATATTTTACTCTCGACCTTTATAGAAAAAGTTGTCTACAATTAAAAAAAAATTACTGGATGGATGTGTGGCCATACAGAAAGGCATCACCAGAAAGGCACTATCATTGAGGTGGAATTCAGTCTAGACACTAGTACACTTACGTTACTTATGATGGGAGGGAAAAAGGGGCGAGGGGAGGGGTTTTTAAGAGTATGTAGTCAGTTCAGAAAGACATGGGTTCTGCAGGGGGTGGGGGGAATTCAGGGACAGAATACAGTTGAAGCAGATGAAAAATAGGGAGTAGTCCTGGGGCTTTACAAGCTACTCCAGGTGGAAGGCAGCTATTCCAATATTAATGACCCCCAAAATGTGAAAGTCAGGTTTATTAAGGAAACTGAGACTCAGGGCTAAAGTTACTTGCCCAAGTTCACAGAGCAGGAGTACGGGACACAAAGAACTGGCCTGCAGATACCAGGTCCCAATTCCGTTCTCTCCACTGCAGCACACTGCCTCTCGTCACTGGACAGAATCAACCTGGACAAACACCACCATCAGTGTGTGACAAGTGAGCTCAACGAAGTCCAGACAGAACAAAGTCTCCTCCGGAGCTCCCCTTCCTCCTGCAATTATCAGCGGTTTTTCAGGGAAGAACTGGGCAAGGTGTCTACAGGTCTCGAGAAGTGGAGGAGCAGACAACAGCCCTCTCTGCCAGATGTTGGGAACAACAAAAGAATGTTGACCAAACATCATTAAAACAAGCCTGAGATATCCAGTGGCTGAGGGCAATAAGAAACATCAAATTTCAATGAATTTACCTGGCTCCAATTTTATTACTTTAATTGCTGCAAGTTCACCGGTGTTAACATTCCGTGCCTAAAAAAGAAAAGAAGATACTTGTGAAAAGAAAGCTTTCATAACAACTTTATGAAATGCTCTTTTAGCTTACTACTTATATTGTTAATTAATCAGAATATTTTTTAAAGCAAGAATTGTAAAAGTGATTTATATTTACAAAACAAACAGTATATTCTTCCCAATGAAGTTTCAACATCAATCCAAGTATAAATTTAATGATGATGATAATAACAGCAGTTAACAGGAACCCAGATTGTAGTATATCCAGGCACTATTCCAAGTGTTTTTATATTAATTCATTGAATTTTTACAGCAATCTTAAGAGGCAGGTACTAATGTAATAGTATCAGTAATATTCTCGCATTGCAGATGAAGAATCTGAAGCACAGAGAACTTGCCAAGACCGTGTAGCTAGGGACAGTGCTGGGATTCAAATTCAGGCAGCCTGACTCTAGAGCTGGAGCTTTGTAAGCATTACATTCCACTGCCATTCACTCAAGTTCAATTCAGTCTCTCAATCGTGTCTGACTCTTTGCGACCCCATGGACTTAAGCACGCCAGGCTTCCCTTCCAGCACCAACTCCCAGAGCCTACTCAAACCCATGTCCATCACATCGGTGATGCCATCCAACCATCTCATCCTCTGTTGTCCCCTTCTCCTCCCACCTTCAATGTTTCCCAGCATCAGGGTCTTTCACATCAGGTGGCCAAAATATTGGAGTTTCAGCTTCAGCATCAGTCCTTCAATGAATATTCAGGACTGATCTCCTTTAGGATGGACTGGTTATATCTCCTTGCAGTCCAAGGGACTCTCAAGAGTCTTCTCCAACACCACAGTTCAAAAGCATCAATTCTTCGGCGCTCAGCTTTCTTTATAGTCCAACTCTCACATCCATACATGACTACTGGAAAAACCATAGCTTTGACTAGACGGACCTTTGTTGGCAAAGTAATGTCTCTGCTTTTCAATATGCTGTCTAGATTGGTCAGAGCTTTCCTTCCAAGGAGTAAGCGTCTTTTAATTTCATGGCTGTAGTCACCATCTACAGTGACTTTGGAGCCCCCAAAATAAAGTCTCTCACTATTTCCATTGTTTCCTCATCTATTTGCCATGAAGTGATGGGACCAGATGCCATGATCTTAGTTTTCTGAATGTTGAGTTTTAAGCCAACTTTTTCACTGTCCTCTGTCATTCAAAGAATTCTGAATTAACTAGCTTTAAACTTTTAACTTAAAAAAACTTTACAATATGAAAAGCAAATACCTTTATATAACTGTAAAAACAAGCTCCTCATATTTGTTTAAACACATCTGATGTATAAAGAAATCAATTCAATAAAAACCAAATATATTTTACAAGCCACATGTTAAAAATAAAAACTGTTTAAAAAATCAATGCATAATATTAGATTGCCAGTGTTTACAAGTGTAATTACATGTAAGTAAGCAGAAACTGTATTTTCAATTTGTATAAAAATGGCAGTTATATTTGTAAATTTAAAATGTTTTAAATTGATCAAAATTTTCAAAACATTTTAAACTATGCACTGAAACTTAAATTGATTTTCATATCAACTAATGAAGACCAATACATGCAATTCACCCATCACAGATAAATTCATTCATGTGATGAGAATTATTCTGAGTTGTAACACTTCTTTTTTTTCTGGTAACACTTCCTATTAATGGACTGGTAAAGCTCAATGAATCACCCATAAGGGATGATAACAATATTAACAGTGGAATCCTTCTAAGAATATTGGGGCATTAAAAAAAAATCAGTTTCTAAGAAGGTATATACTGGACACAGTCACTGCAAAAACATATAAATAAAAACTTAACCTTTAAACTCAAAGAACAACAAAGGTATTAAAAATACAAATTATGAAAAATTAAAATTAAAATTTCAAGGGAAGTTCATTCCTTTTGAAAAAAATCCCCATAACTCATAAACATTTATGATGCCAACTTACTACAGAGTAGTAAGTTTTGAACTCAGCAGTAAGTTTTTGAACTACAGGCAGTTCAAAACAGATTTCAACATTTATTTCAAAGTAACTTAATTTCCATTACATGAAACAGACATTCCCAATAGTGTCACACAAGTATTTATCGCTTTCACCAGGATAAGGTGAAAGGATATACACACACACACACACACATAAATGGAATAGAAATAAAATCAGAGTGTCATTATGGGAGCATTTTATAAAGAAGATGGAGCAGAGTGCAAAATACTCATTATATCACAACAACATTAGTCATAAATCTTCTCAAACACTATCAGAACACTTTGCCTTTCCTCACAGTTGTAATATCTTTTCTCTGTCAGACTTCTCCTTGACACCCTGTCCTTTAATCCATATCTTTTTTAAGCACTGCTCCAATAAAATAAGACGCCACTCTCTAATTCTCAATTCTTCATCTGAAAATCTTCAAATAGTTTTATTTTCTGTTTATTGAAAAATAAATTTAGAGTCTGGGTAATTCCAAATGAACGAGCAAAAAAAAAGATGAACTCAGAGAAAGCTACGATGACTATTTTTACAACCGACATTCTGTTTCCAACTGACCACAAGAGGGCACACTTCCACTGACAACACCAGTGACACAAAGGGTCCAAAATGGCTGCAGCACACAATGGACTCTTCTAAAAACAGATTCATTAATAGTTAACACCAGCACATACTTAACACAAAAACTATGACAGTAAACTAGTTTACAGGAGCCAATTATTTACTATAGGCTTGACTTCTGAATACTATTTTTCAAAATTTAAATCAGGATTTTCTAAAGAGTAGCAAGTTTTTAAATTATGGTTCTTTAGAGTCAATAAGAAAACAAGACAACTAATGATTACTGTTCTTTTCGCCTTCTGAATATTTTCTAATATGTAACTTATTTGACAGAAATAAGATAATTCACAAAAAGGGAAGAAAAAATCCTCAGGAAACCTGAATTTCTGATCTTTACCACATTATAATCCTTATGTGTACTAATGAAAGGTGTTTAACATTATGATTCATCAAGAATCTTGGATATTCTGGCTAAAATAAGTCATATTTTGCTGTTTCTAAACTCACAGTGGCGAAGATTACAGACAAGTAAATTTAAAAACACCACTCTAATGCTCTGTACCTGCTATTCTTTTCTCAATCACCAAGAAAAACTGATTATAGAAAAATGAGAACAAGGTAAATAGTTATAAATATTATAAAGCATATAGTTTAAAATTAATAATTCAGTAACATAAGGAGGCCTTATAAACAGCTCTGAAAAGAAGTGAAAAGCAAAGGAGAAAAGGAAAGATATTCCCATTTGAATGCAGAGTTCCAAAGAATAGCAAGGAGAGATAAGAAAGCCTTCCTGGGTGATCAGTGCAAAGAAATAGAGGAAAACAACAGAATGGGAAAAACTAGAGATCTCTTCAAGAAAATCAGAGATAACAAGGGAATATTTCATGCAAAGATGGGCTCAATAAGGACAGAAATGGTATGGACCTAACAGAAGCAGAAGATATTAAGAAGAGGTGGCAAGAATACACAGAAGAACTGTACAAAAAAGATCTTCATGACACAGATAATCACAATGGTGTGATCACTCACCTAGAGCCAGACATCCTGGAATGTGAAGTCAAGTGGGCCTTAGGAAGCATCACTATGAACAAAGCTAGTGGACGTGATGGAATTCCAGTTGAGCTATTTCAAATCCTCAAAGATGATGGTGTGAAAATGCTGCACTCAATATGCCAGTAAATTTGGAAAACTCAGCAGAGGCCACAGGACTGGAAAAGGTCAGTTTTTATTCCAATCCCAAAGAAAAGCAATGCCAAAGAATGTTCAAACTACTGCACAATTGTGCTCATCTCACACATTAGAAAGTAATGCTCAAAATGCTCCAAGCTGGGCTTCAACAGTACATGACCCGTGAACTTCCAGATGTTCAAGCTGGATTTAGAAAAGGCAGAGGAACCAGAGATCAAATTGCCAACAGCTGCTGGATCATCGAAAAAGAAAGAGAGTTCCAGAAAAACATCTATTTTTGCTTTATTGACTATGCCAAAGCCTTTGACTGTGTGGATCACAACAAACTGTGGAAAATTCTTAAGAGATGAGAATACCAGACCACCTGACCTGCCTCTTGAGAAATCTGTACGCAGGTCAGGAAGCAAGTTAGAACTGAACATGGAACAACAGACTGGTTCCATATCGAGAAAGGAGTACATCAAGGCTGTATATTGTCACCCTGGTTATTTAACTTCTATGCAGAGTACATCATGAGAAACACTGGGATGGAAGAAGCACAAGCTGGAATCAAGACTGCCGGGAGAAATATCAATAACCTCAGATATGCAGATGATACCACCCTTATGGCAGAAAGTGAAGAAGAACTAAAAAGCCTCTTGATGAAAGTGAAAGAGGAGAGTGAAAAAGTTGGCTTAAAACTCAAAATTTGGAAAACTAATAAGATCATGGCATCTGGTCCCATCACTTCATGGCAAATAGATGGGGAAACAGTGGCTGACTTTATTTTTTTGGGCTCCGAAATCACTGCAGATGGTGACTGCAGCCATGAAATTAAAAGACACTTACTCCTTGGAAGGAAAGTTATGACCAACCTAGACAGCATATTAAAAAGCAGAGACATTACTTTGCCAACAAAGGTCCATCTAGTCAAGGCTATGGTTTTTCCAGTAGTCATGTATGGATGTGAGAGCTGGACTATCAAGAAAGCTGAGCACTGAAGAATTGATGCTTTTGAGCTGTGGTGTTGGAGAAGACTCTTGAAAGTCCCTTGGACTGCAAGGAGATCCAACCAGTCCATCTTAAAGGAGATCAGTCCTGGGTGTTCACTGGAGGACTGATGCTGAAGCTGAAACTCCAATACTTTGGCCACCTGATGTGAAGAGCTGACTCATTTGAAAAGACCCTGATGCTGGGAAAGACTGAAGACAGGAAGAGAAGGGGACGACAGAGGATGAGATGGTTGGATGGCATCACCGACTCGATGGACATGAG